TTAAAATAACTATGCTTGTTTTCTGATTTGACAGTCTGAACAGAGAAAAAAGACAAAGGGAACTTCTACGTGTGACTCGTGAAAATCAGGAAATACTGAAAAGAATTATGGCCAGGGAACCTGAATACAATCACTTGAAATGGCAGCAGGACTGGCAGGAGAATGAACAGTTTATGGATAACATTGCAAGGTATCCCAGGGACTGGTGGGAAGTTGACCAGAGAGAAAAGGAGAAGGAAAGAGAAAAGAAGCGGGTACGTTATTTTTATTTGTTTAGCCCTTTTTCTAGTTTGATCCATTTTATCAAAATTTATGGGATATTCAACATTTCAGATTGCTGAAATTAGCAAAAAGAACATTATGTATAATGTACTTTTTACTAATTTCAGCAATTAAAAAAATTAAAATAAATTTGAAAAATATTTTGTAAAGATCATATTGTGGAACTTACTTTGCAAGTTAACTTTCTTGGTGAGCTGTGATTGGTTCTTCAGAACTGCACATTTACATAGGGGAAGCTCGAACAACAACGAATGTTAACATATTAATAGTGCCAAGTTTTTAGAGACCCGCTAAAGCTAGTCATATATTTACATGCAATCTATAAATTCCAACAATTGTCAAAATTATGTGCTTTTCCATATTTAAAAGTTTCTTTAAACTGTAACGGTCGTATATCACATAGTTTAATATGTGATGAAGGTCAAGCAGAGAACAGACAAAACATTAATGGAAATGTAGAATATGCACAATTCTGATGACCATATTGTTTCAATATTCATGGCAATAATTGCACCAGCATGCAACAAATGCTTTAATATTGCCAATTACAATTTCTCTCAAATACCACAGAAAGAACAGCAGAAAGAAAAGAAGCAAGGGAAAAATAAACAAGATAAAGAAGAAAATTCTGCTGGTGAACCACAGGAAGAACAGGATATGGAACAAGAGCAACAAGCTGTCGAGGACTAAACCCATATTTGGATATACCACAGACTACATCACCATATATGGTCATTGTGTATCTGCATATTATTAAAGAATGCTGCTGATCACCCAATGTCTCAGATACCCATACCATATTTGGTGATTGGATAATTGATGAACCATATTTGGTCATAATCACATGACTTTTGTGATACAGCAATTCCATATATGGTTTAACTTTGTATGTTTATTTTACATGATACTTGCATATTTAAGAGAGAGAAGGGGGGGGGGGCAAGCTCAGTTTTAGGGCTTCCTTAGTCAATACATTGATAACTTTAGCATCAATGACAAAATCCTGTGGGGTCTTTGATTGTTGTGTTCTTTTAAAGCATTTTAGATAAAACTATCAGAAAAATTAGTTTCGTTCTTGTTTTGAATTGTAAATATTTTTAAACTGTCAAAAGATTTTTGAAGAAAATCAAAATAAATCTGTAAAAAAAATGTATGGGAAAGAAAGTATTGATAATGAAATGTTAACGTCCTTGTTTGGTTAACTCGCACATTTTCATGATATTAAGATGTGAATGAATTCTGAATTTTGCCAAAATTCAATGTATCTGTAAATATCACATAACTGACATTTCTCAGTTTTCAAGTTTTTACTTCATGGCATTCCAGGGAGAATAAATCACTGGAGACAAGATTTAAAGTCATTAAAAATTCATTCAATGCATCACTATCACAGTACGGACCCAGACTGAGGTCCTCCAAAAATCTTTGCAGCCTCCATTTTTTTTTTACAAAACTGAACTGACAATGTCTTTGTTTATTCCATGATGCATTGCCGATTCACGTACTGCTTCCTCTTTCTATGATGTCTTCTTCATCCAGCATTTTGCCATTGAAAAGCGAGTCCTGGCAAGACTGATATTTGGTGCATAGTATGTACAACTAAGATGTTAAAGTTGTGTGAATACTTCACTAGAATTTTTTTTTTTTATCAATTATGAACTGAAAGGAAATAATGTGATGTTTCTCATTTTATAAATATAATTGTATGCAGAACATATTGTGTAGAGTCAGGTGTCCATTTGCGAGTTCCCAGTGTGACAGTTGCATACATGCACATAAAATGGATTACTAAAACTGTTGTACAAATTTTGCAGTTTGTTATATGGAATACAAAATATAAATATACTGTAAAACATGTCTTTTTAGCTAGCATGTTATTTTAGCTAATTTCGCTAATTCAAGATGCCACTAACTTACAATAAAGTGAGATTGTTGGCACTTTAGCTAAATTAAGATTCAGTTAATTCATGCATGGAGTTGATTTTTGCTAAAATGTCAAGTAGCTATTTAAACATGTTTCACAGTAAGCGATTACTGTATTACAACCGATTGGGACAAAAGATTTTGGAACGAATTATGACAAATGTATTGGACATAGATTAAAACGGACAAATGATCTGGCTCTGATAAGATTGCCGTTTGGATGGAAAGTATCTATGGCATGCATTTGTACTCTTAACGTTAGTCCTGTTTTACTGTAAACCATTTAATTTGTGCAAATGGCAGCCCTCAGGTTCAGTAATCTATCGGTGAAATCTGAAAACAAATCCATTGCTTTGAGTAAATGTCACATGTCATAAGACAACATATTTTGCAAAAGTTTTATTTCTGTCATTAGCCCAAACTTTTCTGAATGTAGCTACTGATTTTTCATTTTTATTAAAAGGACAAAAGTGAAAGAGGTGTGCTAGAGTTTCTTTGCAAGGAATGTGTGCTGAAATGTCAATAGTTAAAATATAAGGTTTATTTTTATTACCCATGGAAACATTTGGATTTAGTCATTATTGTATTGGTTGACAGCCATCTTGAAATGAACATCAGCACTTGTCCCCACCCAGACTGAAAATGTCGAGTAGCAGCACTGCGCAGTGTGGAACATGAAAGAAAGTTGAATTGTAAGACAAAACTTTGGCAAGAGCTTTAGAACTCGGTATTTGTTCAAGCATGGTCAAAAGCAAATCTGATTCTTTATTCAAACCTTGCTCCTTGCCGATCTCCACCACATTCCACACTTCCAATTAGGTTATTCAACTTTTATTAACATAGTAGGTTATTATTTGGTGGAAAACAGTTATCAATCAAATGGATAATTTGCAACATACAAAACATATTTTTGTAGACAAAAAAAATACAATGAGCCAGTAACATACCGGAATCATGACTACACAAGTTTTTTTTCAATCTACACACACACACGCACACTACCTCAACGCAGTTGTATTCAGTGAGTAATCAAACACTGTATCAACTCCAAAAAACTTTAAAAGTATTTTATTGCTTTTTTTTTTAAATAGAAAAACTCAAAATACAGTGTAATTTTTGAATCTTTCTTGAAAGACAATACAAAATGTACAAAAGAAACACCAAATTTCAAAACATGAGCAAGACATGCATAACAGTTTTAAAATGTTTTTATCATAACCACGGGCACTTGACACAGGAAATTTAAAAAGAACAGTAATGATGTATTTATTTAATAATTTCCAGAATATATGACCTAATGTGTGAAGTTTACACCTGATTGGGCCAGGCATGTCGGATATATATATATATATATATATATATATATATATATATATATATATATATATATATATTGTGTTCAATGTATGTAACCGAGTTGAACCAAAACTATTCACACGGGACTGACATCTGTGTGCATTTTTGGCCTTGAAATGGCTGCCATTCAACCATTTTGAATCGGATCATGAAACCAATGCATGTGCATATGTAAAGTTTGGATTAGATCGGTCCAAGCATGTGTGAGAGATAATGATGGACAAATCAAGATCAATCTTTAAGTCCCTGTTCTTGGACTGCGTTTAATAAATAGATTAATACAAGTGATAATTTTTTCTAAATTTCCTTTGTCAAGTACCCATGATAGGGTACAGTCTCTACACCCCAATAATATTGTCTTAATAGCATAGGGGGTAATTTCCATAAAAAAGATACCTGTAGACGAGGCAACAATTTTTTTTATACTCTTGAAGGTAGAAAATTAATTCTAAACTTAAGACAGAAAAACTGTTATTAAAATACAAATCAGGGTCTTAAAACATATCGTTGTAGAGACCCTTACCTGCTTAAGAAATAAACATTTTGATCATAAATTGGATCAGAGCAATTACGGAAGAATAATTTAGCTTTTCAAGGTCAGTATAAGATACCTGGCTAAAATAAATATACACACAATGTCATTAAAGTTAAACGTCTGGAAACCAGACAGTTGCTGCATTTAAAAAAATCCATGATATGGACTGAGCGAAAAAATGTCTAAAAACCTATTGGAATGTAAGTTAATAAATATTAACACGATTAAAAAGAAGTCATTGCTAGAATGACAATTTACCACATACAAACTCACGAGCCACAATTATACAAGAAATGAAAGGGAAAGAACACATTTACACAGGAATACACATCTTTTTTTTGACAGGAAAAATGAAGTGAAGAAACTGCAGTGAAAGACAAAGGAAAATATATGCACATCAAACAGATTGCAAAAGACGACATGTGTAATTAAAAAAGGCACAGACTGGCTGTCCAATAAAGCTGATGAAAAAGCAGTGATTTGATCAAACTCTGTTATAAATTCTTGTATTTTGAGTTCTATTGCAATTTAATTTAGTTGACTTCATTTAATATTGAAAATCATGTACCGGTAATCAAAACTCCACTGAATAAAAAATGTGTATAATGAAAATAGATTTTAGGATGAACAGCGCCCTCAATAGCCAAAAGTGAGGAAGCCCCACTGATCACTCCCTAAATCTTAGAAGATTGTATAACATGAATGCTATGGTTCCTCTTACATTATTGTACAATTTTTTTTCACCCCGGCGCACAGCGCTTCCAATGTACATGGCGTCTGCAAAAAGACCAAGCGTGTTACGTGTTCATTTCACTTGTTAGTACCGAATAAATATCAAGTGACTCTCCCTCAGACATTTCACATTCACATATCATTCAGAAAGCATCTTAAATGAGCGAGTAAGATGCTGCAAACAGACTGCGTTGTTGATACAGAATGCTCTGTGTGGTTCCAAGGTGCCCAACTGACATGATGGTCTGGTGAAATTTTACCAAACAGTCATTTTACTTCTTGCGCTTCTTTGCTTTACTGTTAGATTTGGCAGAACGTTCAGCAGCTACAAAGACAATAGGTAATACAAGTTACAAAATGTTAGACGTTTTTTTGAAGCATGGCGGTCATCACAATAGGTTGCAATCAGACACATATTGCTGAGCATAATAAGGGACCGAATGCAAGCTGCTGTGATGAAAACCGCCTTTTAACTAACAATCGATTTGCATGCATTTCTTTCAGTAAATTGAGATACAAGAACACTCCCAAAAAAAAAATCTAAGTACAAATTGACTCACCAATAGCACCAAGTTTTCTTTGTATAATAGCAGCAGTTCCATTGTTATTATTCAATCCCGATACATTGGCAGTGTTCTCAAATTTGTTTTGTATGCCATTACTATCAAATGCACTGCAGCGGGAAAAAAAAGAATAAGAAAACTCAGCTATAAGAAAACTCAACTTATCTATGGTCAAAAAATAGTACTAGTTTTCACTATTAACAAGAGTTTGATTAACAAGACTGAAAAAACTGAAAGCTTTTCAATGCCTGCTACCGGTATATAGAACATGGATATAAACAAAGGCGGTTGTACTTACTGTAAATCTGATTGGTCAATATCCATCTTGGTCAAATTTCAACCTTTTCTGTGATTTCAATGATTTGTTTTGCTCAGATGCCCGCTTCACTGCTCTCATAGCTTCATTGATTTTATTCAACTTTTCAGCTGACTGTGCCACCAAGAAAAGTAACAAAAGACTTTATAAACTATCTGAGGGCCTCATAATTTGATGCCACAACCTCTGTAGACTAAGACTAACACTGTGCCACATCACATTTGGTTATCTGACTATTTTCACAAAGTACCGTATTTTAAATTTAGGGTCAGTTGTATTTTTGAAGCAGTCAAATTTAACTATACAATTATTTGATGCCATTTCACAGACACTAACGAAATTGCACATGATCAACATGGTCATCGCTGTGTTATCTGCAGATTTGACAATTAATGCAAGTAAAAAATATTATTTACTTCAAAATAATGTATTACTCACCCCTGGTCCCTCACCAAAGCTGTAAAGTGTTCTTGATCTTGGCGTCATTTGACTAGGTGATAATATTTCATTTTTAGGGCGAGGACTCTTGAATGGAGAATCCTTCATTGGTGACACATAGAAATTACTTCTGCCGGGAATACTGTTATTTAAGACCAGAGCACATATGTAAGTTTCATTGAAATCTGATGAGATATCAGACATACACACAGACAGGGTAAATCTTAAGATTCCTTTTGTGCCTTTATACATCATGTGAGTAAAAAAATCATAACTTCAGAAACATATAAAGTAAATTCTCGAGATGAGCGTTGATCAGGTGAGATGACAAGGCATTGAAGCTCTAAAGGGAGCCCTGGGTGTTGAAAGTTTGTGTACATGTGACATAAAGTGGTATCAAAAAAAGTGGTCTTCCAAGTCAGATCTCAACAATAGTTAAATAGATTTAGTGTATGTATTATTTACTATTAATATTTCCTTGTAAATTACTTGTAAACCCTAATCATGGATTAACAGATCATAGCTGAAATGTTCACTGGAGAAGTGATGTAAATGTCCCCAACAAATCTTTATTATTAAAACTAAATAAAATGAATCTTACCGAATCACGGAGGGGGAGGTTAGCCCACTTTGGCATTTTGTAGGAACTGGTGAGAGCATAGGCTTCTAGCAATAGAAAACAGTTACACAGTTATTTAAAGAATATCATAGGAAAGATTGATGTATGTAGCTGTAATCTCATGACTGTGGTTAGCATATATCACCTCGCCTGTTAATGCCATTTCCCCCCCCCCCCCCCCATTCATTTTGGCTATCCATAGCGATTTTGAGTCAAGTGTTGTAAATGCACTGTATACTTGTCCATTGTTGTCAAGATTAAAACTTAAATAAATGCAAGTAAAAAAAAACAACAACAAGATCTTGATTATGAAGTTTAGCAATTAACATTGCAATTTGGGTGTATCAAAATCAGTGCATTGTTCCCAGAAAGTAATAAGCTAAAACACAAATGCCATCACACGCATATCACTTCACATGCACTAAAAATAGGTGAAAACAAGACATCACATGTCATGTCATAGCCCCCGCTCAGAAAAAATTTAAAAACTTATATTTAACTGGGTTTGTGTCAGAGTGAATTAATTCAATAGTTGTGTTCACATTACACAAAGTATGGGCTAGGATTTAAGCTGATTTAGGCTTATCTAGCATATTTGCATTTTTGCTAGACCCAATTGCGTCCATGCACAGGTAGGGCTAGTCGTTAGCACGAGCTAAGGTGCAAGCCGCTATTTACGAACGAAAAATGGATGACATGCGCGAGGTTCTATTTCTGCTGCTGACATATTTCGTTCTAATTTTGGAAGCAACGTGCACAAGAACGCGAGAGAAGACGGACCCAACTTATTTGGATGCACAGAAACAGTATACAACGGCGTAACAGAATACAGAGTTTTATTAATGCATGTCGTAGACAGCGAACCAAATTTATTTTGTCTACGATTGGTGCTGCTGTACGCTCTACTACAGCGACCCGATCAGTGTGGAAGCGTGTACACTGAGCTCGGTTGCCATTTTGGGAATGAGAAAGTTGAATATATTTGATCACGTGCATAATGTTCACACCCAAAGGTCACCGCAGAGGGCGCTTAGCCCTGGGCTAAGCGTTCTCACACACTTCGTTAGCCCATGCTAAGGTTCTAGACCGCGTCTTAAATTCGGATCAGATTTAACCCATACTTAGCATTCCTTAGCCCGTGCTAAGCGTTCACGCACGTTTGCTTAGCACGGGCTAAGGAATTTGACCTCTTAGCCCGTGCTAAGAAACTGTGCATGAACGCAACTATTGTGAGCTGTATTAAAATTCCATTATTAATTGTTCAGAATTGATGTGTTACAATTTTAGGGGGTGGGGTAAAAAAAAAAAAATCATTTGGCTTTTCTGAGACAATTTATAACTTGTTAAACATATAATGCGATGTGCACTTGTAAACAATTATTACCTGTCCCTGTACCAACTTTGAACAAAACTGGATGACGCATATCTGAGAAAAAG